GGCACACCCTAAGGCTCTAAGGATGATGACTTACATAGGGTTTTTCTCCCACACGTGGTTTTTCCCTGCATCTCAGACGAATGCAGGAACGTCAGGGCTTTCAGATGACTTACTTAATTACGGGGCTTCTTTGACACAAATACCATACAGTATAAGGCTTTTGGGGTATTTGGAGCCTTAGCATTGCAACGTTCGTTTCATACAGATGCATTTATTTCCTGTTATGTTCTTGGTATTTCCGTTCAACACTGATTGATTCAGGTTGTCTCTTTACCGGCAGGTTCGCTGGTCGTAACGAGCTCCAGTGGTAAGTTGAGCTTTTTGCTGTTGAGAGTATCACCCAATTGTGTTCTGGGGCCATCGTATATTTCAGCACAATATGCCCCAACACCTCATTGTAATCATCAGGCCCCTATATTCTACAAGGCTAGAAGTCGCCTATGGAACCGTCGTACGAACCTAGCCCCATCCCACCCTGTTCTAGCTCTATGACGGCCGCTCGCTACATCAGAGAACCCATGAACTATGTCCTCCTGCGAACTGCTATTCCTCTTGCAAGGCCGTAGTCTAATTGCTGCAGCTTCTATGGGGAAATTCCGTGATCTCTGATTGTGGTCTCTTATAGAAACCTGGGAGTAATGAATCCTTATCGAATCCCTGAAGAACCTGCACATTCCCATTCCTATCCTGAAAGCTGCTAGATCATGAAAGTGCGGCCTTGAAGCGGGAGTGTTTCAGGTTTAGGGTCCGCGATTTAGGGTTTAGGGTTCTTAAAGTTTACGGTTTGGGGTCTAGTCTTTACGGGTTTAGGGCTTAGGCTTTAGGGTTTACGGCGGGTGCCTTATTGAGGCCCCTTGAACGTGAGATTCGAATAGTTGGGACTCTCCATTTGGTCCTCCAACTTAATGTAGATCATTCTATATCCCAATCCAGCAAGTCCAAATCCTAACCTCCAGTTGGTAAAGCACGTTCGTGATAGCCCGTATTTTCAGAAACACCTGTACAAGCCAAGTAAGTTCCTTAGAATGCCAGTCTAAAAAATCTGAGTTGAGGTATATTCCTTAATGTACCATAAATCCGCACACGCTGAGCCCTAAACCCCCCAACCCCTGCCAATAAGTGCTGAACCCCAGATACGACTTAGGTCACAGCAAATCTCGCATATGTTAAAAAATCGTCTTCTTAGAGCCCTCACCCCTGAATTTCATAAAACCCCAGTGCGCCAACCATAAACCCCATCTCAGCCCTCGCCACAGGGGGAGCTTTTGGAGGATGCCATGGTCTTCGCCGGGGGCTCGTCCTGTCGAAGAGGGGTTGATTCAGGGTCTGCGGTTGAGGGGTTCTGTCTTTATAGGGCTCTGTGAGGATTTTATAGGGATTCTAGATAATCTTTAGGGGTTTGGGTTTAGGTTGCTTTTTACTTTTCCGGAGTTTGGGAGGTTAGAGTTTGAGGGTTATAGAGTTCATGCAGCGGAGGTGCGACATCATCCACACACACTGCCATGTACTGGTTTCACGATGGGGCTCAAGCTTTTGCTTCAAGCGCAGTGCCATAACAGTGGTCATCCGAACTAACCGGGGCCCAGCACCCCTTAAGTGAGGACTATAGTAACTGATCGAAGACTTGAAGAGTAGGCATGGCATCCTTATGGTGCCCATATCGTGCCCTCCCATTAAGCTTACAGCAGCATTTGCAGTAACCGTATAGTAACATTCACAGTACCCATCCTTTATAGTACCCCTGTAGTACCCCTACAGTAGCCTTGTACCAACCTTCCTGGTACCCGTATAGTGCCCCTACAGTAGCCTGATAGTACACTACCCTTATGGTGCCCCTACACTGATAGTACCCTAACAGCAACAATATGGAATCTTATAGTCTGATAAGTTTTGCCTGTGAGTTCCATTCAGGTCTGCGCGAACCCGGAGCAGATCCCCGACGAGGCAAACGGGCTTTTTGTTTGTTGACGAGTTCGAATGAGGGTTTAGGGTTTGAAGGGTTAGGGTTATAATTCGGGTCCAATGATCCACCTTGTGACAAGACTGGTGTTTCATTTTCTACTGTCGTAGCTGAGCATGCAGGCTTGCCGTTTCCTTTGAATCAAACAGAAGCCTAGTGGCCTAGTATCAGCTGTTGCGATCATAAGAAACCTGCAAACCAACATGATTCAAGGCTCAGCGAACTTTAGTTCAGGTCCCGGAACATCAGATACCGGCCCCTCCCAAATTCCTAAGGTTTAGGGTTTAGGTCTCCCAAATGCCATGAAGCGGTGAAAGCCAAATTGGCTATTCTCCATAGACTCCAACGAGGAGCTTCACAAACGAGGCAACATCAAGTATGTTCATGATTGAAATGATGGTGCATTTTTTGTTACTGTACTCCTACCTCTCGTGTCATTACTATGGTTTTACGGTTGCTACCATCACAGTCATTTCGCCCACAATGGGTATTCTGATGCTGCTGCTGCTGTGGCTGCTGCTAGGACCTGGATCACATGACTGTTGCTGGAATTACGGGCCCAAGTGTACTTACTAGCACTCCAGGTTTTGTGCAATTTTGACTTTCTGCGTTCTGTTTTTTAATATTAATATTTCTAGTATTGAAGATAATTACTTTTGCGGTTTCGAACAGCAGATTGTCATAATTCTGGCCGAAAATTTGCTGCGCATCTTAATTTTGTAGTCCTCCGCATTAAGCAGGGTTCCCCGTACCCTGGACCCGGAGGTGCGTACGCTTACACAGGGCCTCTTCAGAACCATCGTCATGAAATCCTGGGGCAACAGATGGGACCCCCGATATGGACCCTCAGCAGTGGTATCCAGAATGTGACCCCAAGAAGGGAAGCCATCATTTCCCAAGCCCTTGTACAACACAGCCGTAGCCCTTACAGCAGCCCCTGACAAGGCCTTCTGACAACCTATGTCAACAAGCCTTCCAACCCTGGCCTTTGTCCACATCCAATAAACCTTGCTTTGTCGTGTTAAGACCACATGAAGCCCTTCGATTATCCTTACATAAATCCTAAACCTAATGCACTACCTACACGCTGCATTGTGCTTCGTTTTCTAGGTTACCTTATAGGGCCCTGAATACAACATTTTGTTAAGCCAAGACTACAATGGGGATCCTAAATCCTAAACCCTCTATAGACCCTAAACCCTACACACCCTAAACCCTTGAATCCTAAACCGAAAGCCTAAAATACTAACCTTAGACCCTTAGCCCCCCTCAACCCGACGCCCTAAGCTCGAAACCCGAAGCCCTGAGCCCTAAACGACCCCCGTTGCGCGAGGCCCGACCCGTCGTCGGCGTGTTGCACTGCGCCTCGGGGGAGGAGCCGGAAATTCGCCAGATACCCAGCCGACCTAGGGTTGAGGGTTGAGGGTTTAATTAGGGTTGAGGGGTTTAGGTTTAGGGTGTTAAGGTTCAGGGTTGAGGGTTACGGTTTGATGAAGCCCTAAACCCTAAGCCCTAAACCCTAAACCGCAAGCCCAACCCTTGCAAAGCCCTGCGGACACCCTTCGAACTCCGATCCCCTCCCCCCCCGTAACCCCATCCCAAAAGCGCGAAGCCCGGAATGCCAAAGGGTTCCCAGGGACTCCAATATTCAATATCCCTTAATTAATAAAGGAATATACCTTATATAGATGGTAGTAGGATCTCTAACTTGTTTTAAGGTATATTCCTTAGTTAAGGGAGACTGGAGTGTCTGGGTTCAGGGTTCCACGCCGTGGAAGGGTTCAAGGCTGGAAAGGCTAGAAGACTCTAGGGCTTATAGGGCTTAGGTGTGGAAGTTGGTGGGATGCGCGCCCCCGACGCCCTAAGCCTCAAGTTTGAAGATATCGTGAAACCCTGCAGCCCAAGTCTCAAACCCTAATCACCAAGCCCTGGACTCGAAACCCCAAAGCCCTAAACCCCTAAACCCCTAAATCCTAAACCCGGGCTCCGAACTTAAAGAGACGGCGTCCCCTCATCCGGTGTAAGGCCTCGATGGGACCACCATGGGCCCGATCGTGCTTCGGCGCAGCCGCCTCCAAAACGGAGGCGCAGCTTTATTGCGACTGCAAGAAGACAAGTCTCAGATGATGTAGTGGCCTTAGTTTTTTTAACCGAGTTTTGGGGGTTCCTTATTATAACTATTAGTAGAATATACCCCCAAGCCCTATTCTAATTACAATGCCCCTATGGCCTCGCAGTTCAGGCTGCGGCTCTATCAGCTCTCTGGTGCTTCGTAGGGAATGCGGGAATGGATCCCCATAGTAGCCCCTATATAATCCCCAATAAGAGTCCCCATGATGCGTAGGCTTAGGCTCTATCAAAGCACATCGAGGGGACTTCCTTTAAGGCTTTCTTTAAGGGTTCTCGAAAAGGGGCCCTTAAAAGGGATCCAATAGGGATTCTAGAAGGATACAGGGCTTCGGCCTACATGGAGGTTCGTGGGTAGTTAGAAGTAGGGTTGTAACTAGGGTAGCAATAATCACTTATAACCCGAGGGGACTTACAACCAAACTTAAAGCCACCCATGAACATCCATGTATCAAGGCAGATTAGGGTCGTGCAGGGTTCACGGTTTAGGCTCTGGGGATTAAGGAAGTCTATAATTACGGTTGTGTAGAGCATATACGACCAATAGTGACGATAGCAGTCATGTCAGGTTGTGTAGACAACCACCACCACCGCCGCGGCCCCCGCCGCCGCTGCCCCCACTACCACCACCACCACCACCACCACCACCACCACCACCACCACCACCACCACCACCACCACCACCACCACCACCACCACCACCACCACCACCACCACCACCACCACCACCACCACCACCACCACCACCACCACCACCACCACCACCACCACCACTTCTTGCAGTGTCTCTGATCGGAGTTTCGCGGGGTGCCGGCCCTGGTGCGGTAGGTGGTGTAGACTGGTATACGTCATACACCACTGCTGCAATGCTCGTCAACGCCGGAAAGAAAATGGGGCACTTCGCACATCTAGTCCTGCTAAGCCTTAGCCTGAAGCCGTTCAGCAGTGTTCCCTAATCCCTAGACCCTAAACCCCAAACCCTAAACCCGAAACCCTAAACCCCAAACCCTAAACCCTAAACCCTAAATCCCAGACCCTAAACCCCAAACCCAAGTGAGCGCTCCAGGTGACTGCCTCGTTTCGGAGCTCCTCTTGGATGTGGACCCACCAGAGGGATTCAGGCTCCTTCATAAGGGGAATCCAGTGGGGTTTCGGGTTTCGGGTTTAAGGTTTAGGGTTTCAAGGCTCCTTTATAAGGGGAATCGAGTGGGGTTTCGGGTTTAAGGTTCAGGGTTTAGGGATAAGGGATCGGATTGGGGGTTTAGGGTTTAAGGTTCAGGGTTTCAATATGTGTTGACCGAAATGTTTTGACGGAAACGTTTGGAGCAGGTGTTCTGTTGCAACCTGGTTCTGGAATTGGTGGGCCGTATTGAAACTGTTTTTGAGGGTTCGGGTGCGCTAGTATTGGTAAACATTTTGACCGAAAGGCTGGGGCTGGGGCTGGGGGCTGGGATTGAAATTTGACGGTCTATGCAAGATGCAGAGTGCCTGGCGGAGGAGGTCAAATACTGCTGGGCCAGGCCGCAGTGGCAGCTCCCAGTGAGGAGGAGATCGCCAGGGCCCTCAGTGGGGTAGCTCTCTACGAAGCAGAGGCCGAACGGGCCGGTGGACACGCTGTGCCAGTGGCCCCCGCCTACTCGAGCTCCGCGGCAGCCGACCCGTCGACCGACCATACCAGCCCACCCACAGCCTTGAATGAGCCGATGCCCGATGGCGTGTTCTTCGAGCCTTGTGGTCTGCCGTCGGACCCAGCCGAGCCCACGATGGCATGCCATCCCGGGATGGCAGACTTGGTATCAGTTCCTGGGAGGTAGTAGGGTTTGGGTTTAGTACCAGTAGGGTTTACTAGACTTTGCCAGGGTGTAGGGTGCATACAATCCCACCATAAAAAGCAGGTTGGCTTCTTTGGGGCTAGGGTATTGCGCTCGGCCCCACACGAAATTAGGGTTCAACTTAATATACAAGTAGCAGAACAAATACAATGCAAACCAGACCTTCAAGCCCCTCTATCAAACTTTGTTGTAACTATATACACCCCAAATCCTAAACCAAAACCACAGGTTAGCTAAGCCCCCACAGCGCCATGGCAAACCCATTCGGAAAACCAAGTTTTCTGCCGAGACCGTGCGAGAGGCAAGAACTGTGCCAAGCAAAGGCACGTCGGCGCACATGGCCGTTGACTAGGTAGGGCTTTGGGACATTTTATATTTTCCCCTATTGGGCTTTTTATATTTTTCAAAGGCTTTAAAAGCCCCACCTAGTTGAGAGATGCTTCCGGACAAACCATCTACTACTGCGTCCAGAACTTTCTGGACGCTGACGGTGACTCCACAGAGTCCGAAGCGATCGATGAGTTGGACCGGGAAGCCGACAATGACAACGAGCTCGACGACAATGCCAAAAACCCTAAACCCCAAACCCTAAACCGTCCAAACCCTAAACCGTCCAAACCCTAAACCGTCCAAACCCTAAACCGTCTAAACCCCTAACTCTTCAGGGCTCCCCTCGATCGATGTTCCACAAGGTTCGAACCTCGGTCGCCATCACCGCTGGCCATGCGCCACGAGGCACCCGATTGGAGCGCTTTATAACGGGGTTCAGGAGTTTAGGGCTTGGGGTTTAGAGGTTTAGGGATTTAGGGGTTAGGGCTTAGGGCTTTAGGGGCTTAGGGCTTCAGGGGTTTAGGGGTTTAGGATTTAGGGCAGTTTAGGGTTTGAGGGTTTAGCGGTTTAAGGTTTCGGGTTGATTGCTTAGGGTTCGGGTTTGGAGTTTAGGGCCTAGTGGGGTTCGATTTAGGGAAGCACCGAAAAGTAGGAGTCCTTAGGGCCTAGACCCGAAAGCCTTTAAGTTTGAAGCACCTTTAGTTCTAGGGTTTAGGGGTTTCAGGGGCTCTAAAGGAAGAAGGCCCGGAAGATTTAAGGATATAGGCTTTTGCTGCCTAGTTGGCCCTTAAACATCCGTAAATCCTAGACCCCCTACTGCAGTGACCTGACCTACAGTAACCCTAAACCCTAACCCCCCAAACCCTAAAACCCTAAACCCCCACACCCAAAACCCTAAACCCTAAACCCCTTAACCTTAAACCCCAAACCCTAATCCCCTACACCCAAACCCTAAGCCTTAAAGCCCTAAACCCTAATCTATCTTACTCTACTTCGGATGCTTTACTCGGTCAGACGAGTTGCAGGTATGTCGTTTTCACTGGGGTCCATGCGCAAAGTTTCCTCACGAGCCCCTCGGGCTCCGGCTTCCTCAAGGAATAAAGGGCTACAGGGGTACATAATACATACATATCTATATATATATATATGTATGTGGTTAGTAACCTACTATTGGGTAATGTGAGCTCACGTTAAGTGGAGTCTCGGGTATAGTGAAACTATGTGGTAGGATCGTGGGCTGCATCAGCTCAGGGCCCTTGGGCTAACGGTTGCTTCGGCTTTATTCGGGATTCTTCCGAATGCAGGTTCAAGGGTTGACGGTTAGATTCCTAAACCCTAGGGTCATGCACAATTTTCTGTTCGATGACGTAACCTTCACCAAACCACTGAAATCCTGTATATACTTATGTAGCCTAAGCCTGTCGTACCGAACCCAAGCCCCGACTGCCTACAAAAGCCCAGTCCTAATATTCCATGCCCCGGGTAAACAACCCTTACAGCAACCTTTGGAGGGACGCGTAAAGTCTTTAAGGAACCCTGAAACTCGGCACCCCCTCCCTCCCTCCCCCCACCCCCCTCAGTTTTTCGTGGAAAGGAGCTGGGTGGTTGCGAGCTGCAGAGGCCGTTTAGGGTTTTAGGCACACTAACATCGGGGCCGGTTTCCACTGGCGTCCTGGATGGTTCAGGGTTCAGCACTCGTGTTTGTCCGAAGGGGACGGCTCAGGGGTGTCTTGAGTGATTTACGGTTGATGGCCTTCATTGCGTGTTCCTCATGGCTCTGAGTGGTTTCGGCTTTTAGGCATGCAGGCGCCAAGTGAGGGTGTTTAATCTGGGGTTGCAAAGGTGGGATGAAGATAGGTGGGATGACCCCAGTTAAGAACTCATGTACAAGGGATCCTTCATCTTACCTATCGTCTTCCAACCTTTTGAGATCCTTGAGTGTTCGGAGGCTACGGTCTTAGGATTTGGAGCATATCCGGGGCAGAGTTTCCCCTGTACTAATTGTGAAGGCCCCCTGCCGTACTTTATGTGGGTAGTTGTCAAAATTATGGTCCCTTTTTGGGTAACCTAAATATTAGCTGCCGTATTATAATATGGTAAACCCCCATAAAGCTGGAAACCGGATTAAGGCCAAATGGTGCTGGGATTCCCTATCACCTACTCTTAAGGATGGAGGCTACGGGGTTTCCAACTCTTGGGCTTCTACTGTAGGGACCCAAAAAGGGGCCCCAATTTTGACAACCACCCATGTAGCTTCTGATCTAGGGCCCCAAAAAAGCACATAAGCAAGAATAAGGATAGGGATATCCCATATAAACCCCCTTATATTGAAGCCCAATAAGGTAGGGATATCCCTAAAAAATGCTTATGCTTACATGCTTTTTTTGGCCCCTATGATTGCGCTTCGAAGATTTGGTCTGGTGCTGTGGTCCCGGGTTCAGGGTACTTTGGGGTTTAGGGCTAACGGAGCTTCTCCTTTAAGGGTTCCTTTAAGGGCTCCTTTAAGGGGCTCCTTTAAGGATGGGTTTAGGGTGTATGGTTTAGGGATGTTTAGGGGTAAGCGTTTAGGGTTTAGGGTTTGGGGTGCAGGGTTTAGGGTTTGGGGTGCAGGGTTTAGGATTTAGGGTAGTGCAGAAGTCTGAACAACTACGGATGCCGTTGCTCAGAGTTCCTTCTCACAAGCATTGTAGACTACTTGGAGGGTCGGGGGACTTGGTAACTGGTTAGTTTCAGGACTTATAAGTACCATAGTCCCAATTAGGGTCCCTTTTAGGGTACTTATAAGTCTACTTACTACCTACTTACGAAGTCCCCCGACCCTCCAAGTATGCCCCAAAGCCTTGTTCGAAATGCTACAGCCAGTCGACGGGTTCGAGACCCCAACCCGAACCCGGCTCAAATTCTAAGGCCTACAACCCTAAACCCGACTTCTCTAGCCCTGAACCCTAAACGTCCATACCTAAAGTCCTAAGCCTTGAATCCTAAGCCCTAAAACCTAAGCCCCAAAACCCTAAAAACTCTAAGACTTCAGAAAAACCCTAAGACTTCAGCTTGAAACCATCCTAAGAGCTCCCTTTCTGACAAACCCGCCAGGCTAACGATGACTCCGACGGTCCTGGGCGACCTGCAGATCGGCATGCAAGAAGCAGGGTCGGATGTACGTAATTTTTAGGGAGGTCTAGGGTTAAACTGTGTAGGGGTTTGGGGGTTGAGGGTTTCGGGTGTACGCTGTGGGATTTAGGGATGGTTCAGGCGACTAGATTGGCTACATGCAGGTACGGGTATTGTGAGTCAACACTACCTGCGCCCGAAGCAATCGCTGGAACTAAACCCGAAACCCTCAAGCCGTAATGTCGGGGTCTTAATAGTTGGAATAGGGTTTGGGGGATATTAAGCTGCAGCTATACTAAGGAAACCGCCAAAGCCCTACTCAAATCACCATTCTATGCCCTAATATCGGGGCCTTAGTAGTTACCTATACTGTTTTGGGGTTCCTTATTATAATCATAGTATTCGAGTACAATGGGCACCAAAACCTTATTCTAGTTATTAAGACCCCTACCCTAAGCTGTTTGGTGTCACACGCGCTCGCCCGTTTTAGGGGGGGGTTCTAACATGGATCATGAAGTCGGAAAGTAGCCCTTGGCCCGAGAACAAAGAAAATAAACTGCAAGACCCCACAATCCTCGAAGAACCCACATAGAACCCTTCAAGGAACCCGAAACAGAGTCCTAAAAGGAACCTTAAACCCAAAACCCGGAATCCTTAAACCCTAAACCCTGAACCCTGAACCCCAAACCCTAAACCCAAAACCCTAAACCCTAAAGCCCTCAAACCACCCCTTTCCTGGGACTCAAACCTTGAGCTCGGCAAGCTGCAACCCTGAACCTTAATAAACCCGAACCCGAAACCCTTCGAACCCTAAAGTGTAATTCAGGGTCCTTACAAATTCCATGTTAGCTAGGGTTTATCACAAGAATCTGCAAAACAGTAGTTCTACTATTTCATAATGTTCTTATACTTATACATATATATACACCCACATATATATATATATATATAGATACACCTCCCTGAATGTATACTCTATGTCCATGAACCTCCAAAAATATTTGTGTGTATATGTATATATATATATATAGATATATATATATATATATATAGCACCCTTTAGTAGCACCGCTCCCAATAAATGGGAGGTTCCGAAAATGGGGGACCACAATATGGTGGCCCAAATAGTAGGACCCTTATTATAAGGACCCCAAAATGAGGTACCCCTAATTTTCGGAACCTCCAAGTAAACCCTATTCCCTTATGCTACCCATATATAGAACCCTTATAGTATCCTTTTGTGGAACCCTTATATAGTACCCTTTGAATTTGAAGGAACCCTTATAGTACCCTTTTAAGGAACACTAAACCCAGGACCAGCCCAGCCAATTTTCGGAAACCCCCAAATCCCGCAAGGCTCTTGGAGTCATTCTGTTGAGCTGTACTTTACTGCCCCCGAGGTTCCATTTGATCAGTCTTCGCCCCAAATCTGGACCTAAACCCTTTATAGAACCCTTATAGATCCCTTTAAGCAACCTTTAAAGGATCCCTTTAAAGGTACCCTATATACCATCATTTTCGGAAACCCCCAAATCCTGTTTCCCGGTATTTCTGCTTCCGAGGAGAGCCACGGCTCCTCGTCAGCGGCCCGCGAAGCCGAAGGCTCGGGTTTTGGGTTTGGGGTTTTAGGGTTAGGATTTTAGGGTATAGGGTGTAGGGTTTAGGGTTCAGGGTTTGGGGTAATAGAATACGTAAGATTTGAGGTTTGGGCTTTATGTTTAGGGTTGAGGATTCGGGATTCTAACACAGTGTGTGTCGTGGTGATCCAAGTTGTGTGTGTGTGTGTGTGTGTGTTTAAATGACTCAGGAGAGTTTGTTCTACAGTGTCAGGTTTTTGTTACATGACATGCAGACACGGTGTGCATAACAGTTTCTTTTCAAGGAATCCAGCAAGCATGCTTCCAGGTTTTGCAGTCTTTGTCTTAAGGGTTGTTCACAAATGGAGTTGAGGTTTTTGCATTCCTGATGTCTCATGATTTCAGGGCTTTTGGAAAGGACTGTTAGTTTCCCGGTTTTTAATGTTCCAGATACTTGGAGGTTCATGGGTAGGTACTAGAGTTTCTAGAGGGGTTATAAGTTTCCTAACATAGGTTATAAGTATAGCTACCCTACTGTACTTTCGGTACGATGTGGTCAGGGCAGTGCTGCGAGAGGCCGAACGGGGCTTTGGAGTTGTTTTCACAAGGATGGCCTTGATTATGGCTAGCCCGCCGACACCGACATGCACAACTCTCCCCGCCCCACTCAACGAAATCAAGAGTCCTGATAGCCCCCGATGCACAAACACCCAAAACGCTACACCCCCCGCTCCAACTCCCAAGAAACCCCAAAACCCTAGACCCTAACCTGTAAACCCTAAAACCCTAAACCCTTGTAAAGATTCCGATTTATGAAATCGAATTAAGTGAATTATTTTGTTTTTTACAAATACATTGATCACCCCATTTAACCCCTAAACCCTAAGCCCCGAGCCTCAGACTCCTGTCTCCCTGAAACCTAAACCCTCAGCTCAAACTCCAAAGTGATATTACATCTCGTACTAGCCTTATAGATCCCTTATAGTAGCCCTTATAGACACCTTTAAAGGAACCCCCGCAAAGTATAGGTAACTTGCAGATCAGCCCAAACCCTAAAGTGCAGATCGCGAGAGCTGCGACTTACGACCATGACTTTGAGGAGGAGTTCGAAGCGGAGGAAGATGAAGAGGCAGCTGACATTCTCTGGGACGCCTTTTGTAAGTTAAGTGCGTACGGTGTATGTCTTTGTATAACCTGTCTATATGTGTATGTATTTATGCATACGTACACATGTATGTCACCTGTGCGTATGTACACATATATGTGCATATTTGTTTATTTCATGTATGTACGTTGCGATTCCTTCCTTCCTTCATCATTCCTTCATTCATTCATTCATCCATCCATCCATCCATCCATCCATGCATCCATCCATCCATCCATCCATCCATTCAAGCCTGCCTGCCTGTCTGCATGCATACGTGCATGCATACATGCAGGACTATCTCTGCTCACTCATCACGCAGCTGGTTTGGGAACCGCAGCATGTAGTATCTCAAGAACATGCGTCCGCGCACGCACACCCGGCCGCCCGCGCCCCGCCGGCCCGCACGCATGCACGCACATCTAGACGGACTCTGACTACAAGGGTGCAGCGGTCACATTTGGGTTTGGGACTTCGAGTTTCACTTTAGCTATGTTGATCTTATTTGCAGTCTGAACCCGGAAACCCAAATCCTCAAACCCAACAACCCCGAAGAAGAAGACCTCGGCGATCGATAGAAATTCGGGGGCTGGGGCCCATTGTTGATCTGCATACTCTGGAAGAGTATCTCCTTATAGTCCTCGTATTGCTGTTTTTGCTTTTATAGAATGCGACTCCAAAACACTGTGCAGAACGAAATGAAGCTCAATTCAAACCCAAATTTCGGCTTCGGTTTAGAATGTCGGGGCCTAAGCTTCGGGGGTAAAGTCTCTAAGCCCTAAACCCCACTAAGGCTTTGGGTTTCGTCTACACATGAGCAGCAAACGTCATGCTAGAGCAACCTGCGCACATCTTCAACTCCAAAGTACTACGACATGCTACTCTAGACTCTCGAGAGACTGCTAGAAACGAGCCTTAAATGATGCGAAACTCGAAACCCGAAACCAGAAGCCTCAAGCCCTCGACCCCAGAACCCGCCCAGCACCCTTTGAGACCGCGCTTAGGACTTAGCGTCAAAGCGGCTTACGGCTTCGGGGAAATGAGCGGAGGGGGCCGAGGGGGCCTTAGAAGAACAAGATCAGATCAACTGTGAAGCATTCCACAAATCATGATGGTAGACCCTTTTTCCATTAGGGCGCTCTCCGTGTTCAAAAGTATTGAAACTGCTAAAAATGCCCATCAAGCTCTGGAAAAAAAACCAACCCCTACAAGACTTTTTGCCCTAAGCCCTAAACCCTAAACCCTAAACTCTAAGCCTTAAACCCTAAAACCTAAGCCCTAAACCCTAAACCATAAACTGCCCTAAGCCCTAAAATTAACCCAAACCCCTAAACAGCGTTCGGAACTCCGGCACTGGCATGTTGAAGCCGCATAACACAAGCAACATACCTAAAAGGAGCCCTTATAGTACACTTTAGGACCCCGAAGCCCTAGAGATCCCTTAAGGGAGCCCTTATAGTACCCTTTAAAGGAACCCTAAGCCTTAAACCCTCCCCCCCAACCTATAGGCTCATACCCTACCCCTTTTTTGAGGTGCCTACTGTTCTATATAATATAGGAGATCCTAACCATAGAATCAGGTACCCTAATAAAAGGGGTAGGGTATGACCCTCTAGGTAAGGGTTCGCGTTAGGGTTTCTTCCAGAGGTTCCTTAAAGGGAACCTTTAGGGCTTCTTCAAAGCGGTCTATACCTATAGTCTCCATTGTAGTTCCTTTCTTTGCTTAACCAAAAACTCTATTATAGGATCCTAACCATAAAACTGGATAGCCCAGAAAAGGAACTACAATGGAGACTATAGGTAGGGTTCCTTCGAGGGTGCCTTGAAGTGCTCACGGCTCCTTTAAGGAATCAAAGGGTTCCTTTCAAGGTTCGTTTACGGGGCATACTACAGGGGAAATATAATTACCTATACTATTTTGGGGGGTTCCTTATTGTAATTATAGTACAATGGGCCCCACAACCCTATTCTAATTATTAGGATCTCTCTACTATAAGAGACTAAACCCTATTCTATTTGCTAAGATCTCTATCTTGCTGGGCAGCGGAAGGCACCTCCGGCCGCAGCGCACGGCGAGGACCCCCTCCCCGAGGCTACCCGCGAGGAGGACGACGAGGTGCTCCCCTTCGACCTCCTGGGTTTTTGGGTTTTTGTTTAGGGCTTTAGGGTGCAAGTCTAGAGTTTAGGGTTGAGGGGTTTAGGGTTTTAGGGTTCAAGTCTAGAGTTTAGGGTTTAGAACTTTTGGGTTCAGGGTTTTGGGGGTTTTAGGGTTTTAGGGTTTTAGGGTTCGAGTCTAGAGTTTAGGGTTTAGGGTTGAGGGGTTTAGGGTTCAAGTCTAGGGTTTAGGGCTTTTGGGTTTAGGGTTGAGGGGTTTAGGGTTTTAGGGTTCAAGTCTAGGGTTTAGGGCTTTTGGGTTTAGGGTTGAGGGGTTTAGGGTTTTAGGGTTCAAGTCTAGGGTTTAGGGCTTTTGGGTTTAGGGTTGAGGGGTTTAGGGATTTAGGGTTCAAGTCTAGGGTTTAGGGCTTTTGGGTTTAGGGTTGAGGGGTTTAGGGTGTTTGGGAGGCTTCCTTTATGGGTCCCGTAAGTAAGGCTGATGAACGGAACGCGGTGTTGTACGTTTTGTTGATTTCTTTCGGTTGTGTTTTGGAAGACATGGGCATTCCGGTCGTCGAGGGATTTTTGAGGGTGCAAAGTTTAAGGGTTTACAAGTGGTTTGGGGGTTTTAAGCTTTATGTGGGTTATTAGGGTTACGCCGTCGAGGTTTAGAATGCAGGGTGGCTGTATCAGGATTTAGGCCGTGCAGTTAAGGAATCACGGATCGGTCTTGGGAGCCTGGATTTAGGGTTTGGGGTTTAGGGTAGGTCCTGGGGGGATGGAATCGCAGGGTGCTGGGGCTTTGAAGCATTCGGTTGGTTTCTGGCTAGACGAAGGGCTCCTACTTTTCATAGCTTCTCCTTTAAAGGAGCCCTTAACGGGAACCCTTTGAGCCGCCGCCGGCAGCGAAGGCAAAGATGCACGGCAAGAAGGCCGGCTTCCCTCTCAGGAGCAATCGGGGCCGCGGCACCACCAACGTGGAACGCTACTCGAGTAGCTACACATCGATCAGCTTGGTGCCGAACACCTGTGTGACTGGCTTCACAATATCCTTCCATCATTCTTTACGCTGGTGTTTGTGAACAAACTATCGAGAGATGAATGCCTCGCGTACCTGTACATCACGACCGGTCTGTCTCCGACAGACCGGCTTCCCTCGCGTCTTGGTCAAGACTGGAGCCGCAGTCCCCCTTGAGGCTTTCTATCGTTTCAGGTTCTGTGCTCACCCTATGCTGCTAATGCACCTGAGGTTTGTCAAGCAGGACTGCGCTTAAAGGGTCCTTCAAGGGTGTTCTAGGTAAGGGTTGGTTGAAGCTTTTGGCTTCAAGTGGAGGCCCCCCGAAGCCGTCGGAGAGAAGCCTAAGTCGAGGGCGCCGCATGGCTAAAGGAGTATACCCTCAAGCAGGTTCTATGGTTTTTAGGGGTTCTATAAACGATTGCGAGACCGATTGAAGCTTCTTTAGGCCGGTCGTTCTCGAACTACCTAGGAAGCTGTTCGAACATGAGGTTCCAGGTGTCCCGAAGCTGTATCCAAAGATCCTGAAACTATAAACCGTTCCCCTGCACTGTGCACTATATAACGGTTCCTTCAAGACTTCTATGTTGAATATGGTTTAGGGCTTACAGGGGCTCGTTTTTTAGGGTCTGGGGCTTGTGGTTGAGGGTTTAAGGGTGTGGGCTGTTGAGGAGGCTGTGCGATCGACGACCTACGACGATGATGTCTTTGAGGAGGAGGACCGTGAGGACAGCAGACATGAGGAAGACGATGGAGAAAGTGAGGTTTAGGTCTTAGATAGTGAACGGGGGAACTTAAATTTTTCTGGCCTTGTATATTGGCTCTATCTTGGAAAGTTTAAGCTTTTTGTGGCCCGGTTGTTCAAGAAGAGAGAGGTTACGAGCAGTTTAAGATTTGTGGTTTAGTAACTTGTTCAGCTTCGAGCACTTTTAGCAAAGGGGACAAGGAGGGACCCTTAATGGGGACTCCTACCCTATAATGGGCTATATAATAGCTATTTTAAGGGTATAGACCTAGCGGTCCTTATTAAGGGTCCCTCCTTTTACCCTTGGACTTTACCAACGCCACAACCACGTACAAAGACAGCCACATGCAGGCACTCACAGGAAAATAAACATGTAACATAGAAGTCTGAACCCTCACGAATACTATTCCCCCGTCTTCTTCTTAGAGTTCAGACATAATATGATCAACATATCATTCTAACGACTACGGTGCCTATCTCAGATATGGATGCAGCCCAATTTCCCACATTGCCCCCACTACCACCACTACCACTACACAACGACTACTATCGGTTTTGGTGTTCGTAGTACGAGATCATCGCAAGCATGACGACAAGAATACACAGCGCATACAATCTTTAGCATCTCAACCTCCTAAACCTCATCACCCCAAGCCCAACAGTCTAACCTCAAGACCTCAGAGTAAGAGGGTTGTGCAATAATCACAATAACGAAGGTACTGAGAATGTGATGACAGCAAAGTGAAACAAATAAGAATAGCAATGCAACAGTAGTCCTTTGCCAGCATCGAATTTTTCACAGGTGCCGAGGATTCGAATTCCGGATTGTCGGCACGAGCCCTCAGAACTCCACGTACCAAGACCCCCCACGACGGCGTCCTTCCTTTAATGCCTCAATCGGCCACCCCGACCAGAACCACAGTGAACCCTAGAAAGCTGGAGCATGGCTTTAGGATGACGAGTGCGGGGATTCGCTAAACTTTACCTTAAGACCTTAAGGGTACGAGGTGAATGATGTTCCAGCGCTCCGGCTCTTACTGTAAACCTCCCTAAGGGTCCATGTACTCATATAGTATATACCTTGATCTTAATGTAGTCCCTATATAGGTACTTGGGGCTCATGTATCTCTATATGGGTACATGGACCCTTAGGGCTTTGAACCCTGAGAATGACTACGAGAAACCCGGTGCTTAGGGTTTCAGACTTGTGAGTTTCGGAACACCATGTACCCTCACATAGAGCCCAAGTGCCCAAAGGGTCCAAAGTACCGATATAGTAGAATGTAGGGTTTCTATCTTAGGAACTAGTATTATGATTCAGGGAAGTATTCCCCATAACAGTACCTAGGACCCTTTGGAGTAGTAGGAACCTTGTTCTTAGGACCTCCAACAAGGGAACCCTAGTTTAGACAAAGCTCCAGGTAAATAAGGGGTAGATCCCGTACGGAACCCTGCTAGGTCCTGAAAGGGAACGCAACAGCACCAAGTAGGAACCTTACAGCACCCTTAAGCGGAACCCTATAGTACTCTTCAGGGGAACCCTATAGTAACCTTGTCCCTTAAACGGAACCCCAAAGTGCCCTTGAAGGCAACCCCAAGGTCCCGAAACGGAACCCCAAAGTGCCCTTAAAGGCGTCCCGCAAAGCAACCCCTATAGATCCCTTAAAAAAAACATACAGGTCCCTTAATTAAGAGGAACCCCATAGATCCCTTAAAAGTAACCCTATAGGTCCCTGAAAAGGAACCCTATCGGTCCCCCTTAAGAGGAACCCTCGAAGGTTGGTCTGTGGAGGAGGGGAGAGCGAAAAGGCTCTGAAAAGAAAAAGCAGCGCTGCTTTGTCGGAGCTCAGGGTTTAGGGCTTAGGTTTAGGGGTTCAGGGGTGTTGGGTTTAGGGTGTAAGGTTTTAGAGTTTAGTTTTAGGGGTTTAGGGGTGTTGGGTTTAGGGGTTTTGGGTTTAAGGTGCTAGGGTTTAGGGGTGTAGGGGTTTCGGGGTTTAGGGGTTTGGAGTTTGAGGTTTTAGGGGTTCTTTCAGGGTTCCTATGAAGGTTCTGTAGGGGTTTAGGCTTATACATGGTTTATACGGTTTTCAGCAGGGTTCAAGGCTTTGGGTTTAGGGGTTTAAAGCTCAGGATCTAGGATAAAGGGTTTAGGACTTAGGGCTTTGGGTTTTGTGGGTCAGGGTTTAGGGTTTGGGGGTCTCAGATCTTTCGGGTTCATGGTTTAGGGTTGAGGGCTTTGCGGTTTGGGCATGAGGATCTTTGATGTAGGGTTTACCTTAACCCGGAGTACCCTACCTTTATAAGGACTTATAGAAGGAAATCAGAGTCAGGAACCCTGAAAGGTTTGAGTCAAAACACTGCAGCAGACGAGGTTCGAATTCCGGATGCAATTTCACATGTGGGTAGTTGTCAAAATTGTGGTATACGGCACCTAATTTTTAGGGTACCCAAAAAGGGACCATAAGTTTGACAACCACCCATGTAGCAGAACCAGCATAGAAGCACTGGTGAACAGGATAGTGACAGCAGTAGCAGTGACACCGGCCACCCATGCATCTACTACCGGCAGCCAAGGCATTCAATACAAGACCCAACTCGTGCACAATAGCCCAGCATCCATATTTCCCTTGCTTAAGCCTTCGGCGAGACCAAAGTAAGTATCAGTTTTTTATAGTCGACCCCGCACCCACAACCCAAAACCGTATACACTACCTTAACACTGAATAACCAACCTTTTTAGGGTTCCTTTTTTATGATTTCCTTATATAAGGCCCTTAAAAAGGTGGGTCCCTAAACCCTAAACCCTAAACCCTAAAACTCCAAACTTGGAGCCCTCTCCCGTGCCCGTCATGGCCGATAAGGATGAGGGACTGACGGCTCCATGGATGCAGGGCTTGGCCCAAAGGGGTTTAGCGTTTAGGGGTTTAGCGTTTAGGGGTTTAGGGTTTAGGGGTTTAGGGGTTTAGGGTTTAGGGGTTTAGGGTTTAGGGGTTTAGGGTTTAAGGGTTTAGGGGTTTAGGGGTTTAGGGGTTTAGGGGTTTAGGGGTTTAGGGTTTAGGGGCTAGGGTTTAGGGGTTTAGGGTCTAAGGGTTTAGGGGTTTAGGGTTTAGGGGTTTAGCGTTTAGGGGTTTAGGGTTTAGGGGTTTAGGGGTTTAGGGTTTAGGGGTTTAGGGTTTAGGGGTTTAGGGGTTTAGGGCTTAGGCCCCGAAACCCTCAACCCTGAGACCCGAAGACCCTACATGGGTGGTTCTCTAAATGAGGCTCCGAAAGGGTGCCGTACTATTTTGGGCCTTAAAGGGGACCCTAGTTAAGACACTTACTTATGTCCTGAACTCAAAAATAGTACCTAAGCAGCAAAGCTTTAGCTTCTTTGAGGTACTTTAGTCCCTACAGAATCCGACAGATTAGCTTTTAGTTCCCGTAAGATACTGGACAAGTAAGCAAAGTTCTGGGCATTCAGGTTTGCGTTTTGTTCTTGCGGTATTCAGGGTTTTGGCAGGGTTTTCGTTTCAGATCTGGGCTGGTAAGTACCTTAACCTACCAAAACCTACTTTTTTGTAGGGTCCCTATAAGTTCCATATTGGGGTTTAAAATAAGAGCTTACAACAAAGTAGGGTTTGGTAGTTTAAGGTAGGGGTTATGTAGCGGTTCCGGGTTTCGGGTTTAGGGTGGGTGCGGGGCCTAGTTGACAATTGAAGTTCTGGGGTGTTCGCGGTTTGGGAGCACCGAGTGGGTATGATGTGGCAGTATTGCTTTCAGGAGTGTCGCCGTTGATTCTGGTCTCTGCATTCATTGTTGGTATCGATGCAGATGGTGTCCACGCTCCAGCTGTTGTTGTTGTTGTTGCTGCTGCTGACATGACAACGACGATGTTGTTGTCGATGATGGTTATCATGGTGAGGGTCATTCTGATGTTGATGATGATGATGCCTATGCTATGACTTAAGAATGATAACGGTGATGGCGATGGTGATGATGACGCAGCTGATGCTGACGATGACTGTTGGGTGTAGGCGGTGATGACCATGTTCGTGCTGGTGAGAGTCCAGAACCCTAAACCGATGACACTGGTGGTGACGGTGAGGGTGATGGCCATGGGCACACTTCTGATCCCGCTGGTGGGGCTGCTGGTGTAGTTCGGCACGCGAAGACGAACCCCCAAAAGGGTAGCTCTCAAAATTAGGGTCCCTGTTCGGAATCCTTGTTACCGTAACTTAGATTATGGTGAACTACCCTAAATGGTAGGATCTCCGTCAAAGACGGCATCTCAAACAACTCCCCAGTTTGGCAGCCCACAAGTATGCCATGACAAAATTGCGGTGATCCTTCCTTGCACCCTCAATCCCTCGAGATTAAAGCCCCGCAAACCCTTGACCTCTCTGAACGTGGGGATTTCCTGGATCGTAGGCCGGTGACCCTATCGCCCCCAAGCCCTAAACCCGAATACCCAGAGACTCTAATATCCCTTAATTAAGGAATATACCTTGAATCATATTAGGGATCCCACTATACTTCCAGGTATATTCCTGAGATATTGGAGTCTCTGGGTGCTGCCTTGTAAAACCCTGCCTTATAATGTAGGAATCTGAAGAAGAAACCCTGGGCATATAACCCCAAAGTCGTAGGATTCATATAAGGAGCCCTAGTAAAGCCCCCAAGGTTTCTTAATCAGGTTCCTACATTATATGTAACAGTACCCTTCTTATGGTAACCCTTATAGACCCCTTTAAAGGAAATCTGGTAAAGCCCCAAGGTTCCTTCATCAGGTTCCTACATTATAATAGTACCCTTATAGATCCCTTATAGTAACCCTAATAGACCCCTTGGTAAAGGCCCAAGGTTTCTTAATCAGGTTCCTACATTAGAACCCAGAGCGGCCATCTAAGGGCATCGTGCCTTCGGGCCCATCGGCACGGCGATCCAGCTCCTCATCGAGTGGCCTCGGCGACGATGATGAGGTCCCCGTTTAAGAATCCTTATCTATGCAGTGTAAGGGAACTAGAAAGTGTCTATGGCAGTTCTAGA